CAGCTCCGTCTTGTTCGATGGCAGCAAGCTGCGTTGCCATACTTGTTGCACCGCAGCTAGCTCATCTCCGGAGATCTGATGTCACACGTATCATATTGGGATCACGTAGAGAAGGAGAACTTGGACTCACCAGACTGGCGGACTAACAAACAGCTGAATTGCAAATCAGCCTGTATGACGTTACAGAGTATGACGCAATCAAGCGTATCGGCCCTCAAAAGATGCTAACCATGGCCAATTCTGCTGCGACATTTGCAGCATCTGTGCTCGTCTGATTGGGTTAGAATGACTGTCTGGTATGGCTCTGCTTCAATAATCCAGTGTTTCCTGATGCGTGACTAAGTCGCGCTCTACCTAGTGTCATCTTACCAGTATTCTAGCTCCACGCTAGATTGTGGTATGACGGGGGGAGTGGGTGACCGAGTAGATCATGCTAAAGTGGTCGCGCGTGATGACGGTAACCTGACAGGTTCAATTTGAACGATGGATCGGACCGGTAAATCACCCTATGGTCCACAATTGCGGGGGGTGTTGGGGGGGGGGGGGGGGGGGGGGGGTGGGGGGGGGGGGGGGGGGGTGTAGTACCGTGCGAAGGTGAATTACCGAAGTAAGCCAAACACTTAAGCATAATTTACTCTATCGTGATGAACAGACGGGATACGGGGTTGCTACCCTCGCTTATCCGGCCCACAATGGCACGGATGGACGCGGCGATTTACGCGTGTGCAGTGTGTCTGGGTAGTGGCTTCGCTTTTAAAATGGAGTGCGGATCACAGATTATACCAACAAGCTGCAGGCTATAAGGCAAGCCAAGAGCTTCGCGCGACGTAGCTGCCTTGAATACTCCGGACAGCAGCGCTATTCGTTCACTGAAAATGTTCTCACAAAACGGTTCGGGAGACTACCTGATACCTTAGGTACGACTTGCGATTTATCTTGATTATTTCTGCCTCAGGTTTACCTTGTGGTCCGCGAGGCGACATGTTTGAGGCGGTGAAGTTGAGTATATATCTCCCTTCGGATCATTTCCAGTTGATGGGATGCTAACCCCTAAGCAATCTAGTAAGTCGCTCGAACGGCTTCTGAGATCTATTTGCACCGGACATCAACTTTAATCAAGCAATAGCGGGTACATACGACCACAGGGTGTGGAAAACAGGGCTTCCCGTCCGCTCAGCCGTACTTAAGCCACACGCCGGGAGGTTAGTAGTTGGGTGGGTGACCACCAGCGAATCCCTTCTGTTGTATGTTTTTGTCTCTGGTAGGATTTGTTCGGACCAAGGAAACGAAGCCTTTCGTCCAATGAATGCTTTTTTGCCCTGACTAGTAGGCTTCGGGCTACAGGGTCGACCGGCGGGCCCATCCATCTTGTCAAACTGACCAAACGGGAATGCTGGTGATTCCGGTGAAGACAACGGAGCCAGAAACAAATGTCTCAAATCACCAGCAAGATCAAAATGCTTCAATTCTTTGCAGCAGCAGGCTGGTCGAGGCGGTCTATTCTACGTTCATCAAACTCAATTCCGACACTACGCGTACAATTCAGCAACGGAGGTGTCCCTGAACACACAAAAGCATTGGCTTTTCTATGAGCATGCCTCCATGCTAGTCATATTCATATTGTATCCCGTGCTTTCGCCCTACGGTGTGCGGCAGCGGGAGATCCGAGGGTCTAAAATGCTGAGTTAGGTTGGATTAGATACATCATGCTTTCCGCAGCCTGTCCTGCACCAAGATATGCTCAGAAACAGTGGAAAGGAAGCTGCGCTCCGTCCCGAGCAGCGCCTGCTCTCTCCGCAGAGTACCGACCAAAGTTCCGGTGCGCGGTAAACTCCGGATCCATCGGTTCCAGATCAAGAAAAGCACACTCGGCAGAGACCGCGAGGGTCTGAAACCAGTCGATGATATACCCCAAGCGCTCGTACTGGTGCGCAGCTTGGTGGGCAAAGTCTGCATACCACTCCGCGCGCGCCTCCGGACTCAACCAGGTGCTGCTCGCAGAGAACTTGATGACGTTCTGGCCAGAGCCAACATCCGATAGAGGAACTTCGAACCTGGTAGTTTCGTCCTCGTGGAATCCTTGATAGCAATGATGGACTGCTACATCTGGCGGCGGACGCACATAGATGCTGGCCCGTCCAGAAAACGGTGATAACATTGAACTGTGAGGGGCTTCGATGAGAAAACAGAGACCACCGTAAAGCAAGCAGAAAGGGCGAAACACGTACTATCGATATCGGTAGTATGCATGCCACAGAAGACGTTTGTGGCATTCGTCATTCGGGATGGTGATTGAGAGCAGCTCCAGTCGACAGGACCTGGTCATCGGCAGCCGGGCGCAGTAGCGGGCGGCAGAAAGAGGCTGGATAACGCCGGCAGCAGTGGCCACGGCCTCCTGTATCAACAGATCAAGTTGGGAAAGGGCGGAGTTTGTGCGGGATGACTCCCAGTCTGCAACATCAGGATACCGTCAGCAAACTCCGTCCGCCCGTCTTAGTACAACTCGCTGGAAAGTGCGTCTTACCGATAAGCAATCCAATTCGGGAACTCCCTACTCTGCTTACAGGGGTGCTAATGTCACGCCCCCAGCGAAGAGCGGGATACCCGAGATTGTTGTAAATAGCGAGGCGCAGGCCACGCAGCGTCTGGAAAACGCTCGGGTGTGTTTCATCCACTTGCAGCCACACCACATCTATCATCGAGGTTGGGAACGCTTCGCGAGTCCAGACATTCCCCACTGAGGGAAAGCAGTGCTCGGTCATAGCACCCATCGGACACCAATAGCCAGCTGGACCGGGGCAAAGTCTCCTTCCAGACTTAACCTCGTCCAAGCTTTGAGTTCCCCATGTGTCCCATCCAGTAAAGTAGTTGAATCCTTTGTAAAGCCTGTACTGGGGGGCAGTAATCTGAGCCGCTAACACAGTACCTGAAAACGGCTGCAGAGATTCTGATGGCCTGGTTGATGCGTGTATTGGACCGGGTTGCCGTAAGTGGCTTGTTAGAAAGGAAATCATCTCTATCGTTTGTGCGTTTGGACCCGGCCAGCTGGGCCGAGAAATTGGAGGTTCGTTGATTAGGTCGACACTGCTTGAAGTTTGCCAGAGAAACAAACCCATGAAGTTTGGGCTCTCAGATGGCAGGTCCCGCTCTACCCAACCACCAACACTGCACAACAGCCGTGGTGCAGTCGCAGAGGCGCTTGCATTGGTATCTGTAATGTGCTGTGACGTATTCGTCCATTCGGTTTCAATCTTGTCCTGCGCTTCCGCCGTGTCGCACTTGGTGTCAAAGCCCGAGTGAAGTGACAGATTAACCATCTCCAAAAAGTGATTCGATCCAGCAGTAAAGGTCGGCGGCAGGGTCAGCTGCAGGCACCGATTAAGAAGAGGTTTCTCCCGTAGAAGAGGAAGAACGAGACCGAATCCAAAAGACGCTTGAAACTCTCGCCATGCATCACCATTCTGCCATTGAATGAGGACAATTACGCCCCGCGGTTCGTTATGCATTGGGGCCCAGTAGAGATGCTGAAACCCGAGAACGGTGGAAATAAAGGCTAGGGACTTCTGCCACAGAGAGAAGGTGACGTGGTTCTCATCTGTAAGATCGACGTCCGGTCGGAAGCTCAACCTGATAAGGCTGAGAATGGGCTTTCCTGGCAGGCACACTGTGGCGTCCCTGTCGGACCAGGGGAGCCCAGCTAGACATGGGTACTGTCGCTGATCCGACCTCAGATAATCGTGCATTGAGACGAGGATCAAGTTCAGTTCGATCTGGAGATTGGGGGATCTCTCCGGGCGAAGACGTTTGACCAGAATCAGTATGTGGTGTGGTGCTTGTTCCACTTATCTTATCTCCAACTCAATCGAAGCTCTACTCCTTTTTCTCTCCGAAGGTGGAGATAGGGAGGTTCGTGATCAATAGTCTGGAAAGTGGGGCAGATGATATCCCCACCTGAATGGGCATTAATTCTTCGAGCTTGGTTTGTGGCCATTAGATGAATTGGGCAAACCATTGTTGGCGAGGATTATTTACCACTACAGCGGTCGCGTTGATAGCTTGAGATGGAGAAGATGTGGAGAACTTTGACCCGGGTTTACAGCACCTATAAGTGTGAAGATTGAATCTTGAATCTTCGAGAACTTTCCCTCTTCGATCGGTGAGTAGTATGATTATATTCTTAGACTAGAAGAAATGAATTGCGCCACTATACCAACAGCCTGGTTACGGTGTGGTCACAATTTGCTTGGGACCTTTCAATGCATACTGTACATGTTCATAGACAGCATGGTAGTCCTAGCAGAAGGCCATTGTCGGTCTCAAAAGCTCAGGGAGGCAATGGAGAGCGGCCTAAATCATAACACTAGGATTGTGTGTGAGAATCAGCATAGCTGGAGCATACTGTTAGCGTAATAGCACAATTGGCCCGGCGCACTCCAAATCTTAGCAATGCCAATCAATGTGCGGGACGGGCCTCCACCTCGGCTACGCAACCCCGGGCCGGACCCACCCGCTGCAGCAGCATATAAAGATGAGGCAATCCCCCCCTTCCCTCCCCGTGACTCCAGCTCTTTCCTCATCATGACCATCCATCCTTCCGCTGCGCTGGGCTGCCGAAAAAGAAGAACTTCCTGCTCTGCAGAGGGCTCGAACCCCGGTCTTCGCCCAGACAAGCCAACCAACTCACCAGTCCGCCATCAAGGGGTCCTACAGGCCCAGCGCAGCCGAAACAGCGAGTGATGTAGTGACTTCCCTCATTTCTCTCCATGAAGGTCCTGTACACCCTCGCAGCGCTCGTTCAACCTATCCATCACGAAAACGGGCCAAATCATCCCCACTCGTCGGAAAAGTTTGCTCTCAAAAAGCCCATCGCTGGAACACCCCTTTCTGCATGTTCTGTCCACATCTGAGACGAATCGCATGGCGCGGGGGCCCTCTACAGCGAGGCAACGGTTACGGCTGCTGGGTTATGCCCCCCTGTAGCTGCTGTATTTCCATAAGTCCCCGCTGTAGTGTTGCGGTAGCACGGCGAGACGCTTAGAACCCTCAAGTAGGATCACGTACCTGCTTGGGCCTCACTTCCATGTGGGCGCAGGGCCGGGTTCGACTCCCGGCTGCGGGGACTTATCTTTTTTCTGGTTAGTTTCGAGCCCAGCCGCTTCGGATGCTTCTTCTGGCTTCCACGTATTTGTTTTTGACCTTTTTTCATCGGTTTCCATCATAAAAAGCGTCGATCATTTCATAAATCTTGATCCGAGCTGATTCCGATCAGTGTGGGGCGTGTTGTGGGGCTTTTCGATGCGGTGGAGTACTTTCGTCTCCGTAAAAGGGAAAGCTCCCACGCCCCGGTTCGAATGGTTCAAGCTATGCTGGATGGCCATGTAAGTGCATCAATTGACGAGCATTCCTCAAAACTTCGTGTTTTACAGGCCATGACTAGAGTTACAATTGATTGATGAGTGTTTTTATTGACATACAACACTACATTGCCCGTCAGTATTGGATTGGTGACCAACAGAGCATAAGGTACTGCTTGCTCCCCGGAGAGCTTTCCTAGCCTATCCCAAGGTACTGTACAACAGCAATTCTGGACCTGGGAAGTGGGGATTGGAATACTATATGTCTAGGCAGATGAACCGGTAGACAAATAGGAGAGTGTCTCTTGCTAGATGGACAGAAGCAAGGCTTCGAGGAGTTGTGCTCCGACACAAGGAGGTGGATACGACACCACCAGGAAGAGCGGTGATATGGCGACAATGATGAAAAAAGAAGACTAGTCAACTTGCAATTGCAATGGTATTAAATCTATGGTCGGATCTAGGGACGACTTTCGCGAAGCTAGTAGAGAACACCCATCGCAACAGGGCAATAGCATACGGGCGCTTTTATGCGGCGAAGCTGATTCACCCCTGTGGATCAAGGCTCGCATAGAAGGACTTGCAAATTCACAGGTATGGAACTAATCGCAATGAAAAGAGAAGACCTGACTCAGATAGGTTCACTGGCACCTCTAGGTGAAGCGGAGGATAGTCAAGAGCAACTTCATTGTTGAGTAACGTGGCTAGCGACGAAGGACCCAAAGCAAGAAGAACCTACAGTTTGTCCACCCAGCCTGGAATAGTACTGGCACCTAGTTATAGAGCTAAGTAGCCGGTAGGAATCGTTGCGGAGGGTGGTTGCATCATTAGGTTCTAGGCAGATATTACAATACTAATAACACAAGGAGTCTATCCTCTATAATCCTTAATAAAGCCTGGGTACTTCCGCAATCCATAAGTTTGTGGGTAATCTTCACTTGCGGATCCTGCTTATCCAGCTCCTTAGACGTCATTATCAACAGACTTTCACAACACCTCATATACAGCTCTCGACTTCGGTTGTTCAAGGTCCAATCGTGAGGAGGTTGGGTCCGGCTGTATACATTTCTTGGGATTCGTCGCGACCGTGATGAGCCCAGATGAGCTGGAAGGCATGTTGACGAGTGTTTACTACTTAGACTTCTGGCTTTGTCTGAGGTCTTGAGCTGCACTGGTCATGTTAGTAACGGACGTCTCATTCATGAGTGGGAAGGCACAAATCGAGGTTTGTACTCATTCGTCAGAATGTTCTGCTTAGTCGATAGGAGAGTTCCACGACACAAAGGAGACAGTCTCGTGTACCATCTCCGGGCTGAAGAGGTGTGTTTTCTATCTTTGTAGCCAGCACTGAACCTTGAAGTCCTGCCCAGTGCCAGATACCACGGGCGCTGGGCATAATTCGAGGCTGTCGTGGTTCATTGGGAGGGTGGCGACGCCTTGCTCTGGACCATCGACATCACAATATAAATCCGGATTTTATCTTGCCGAAGTCTTCGAAGGGAGCATATCGGTCTGGGAGCCGTCTCTAATCCATGTATGTTACACATTAGCCATCTTGGGAATAAGTGAGCGGATTGTCAGGCACCACCTGCTATCTCGTTTTCAGTGACGCTCGAATCAACCTTGAACCACCGTAGCGCTTGCTTTCAAGTACAGACTCATGATCTTGATGCTGACAGCCAACGAGATGGCTTGCGACGAGAGTGCCGTACTGGCTTTCAGGATGGGGTCGTCGGCCTTGGGGTGGGGTCGCTTGTTAGCTGTTCATATTGCTGCTCCGGAGCTGCAATTCCAATCAAGAGCACATGAGGCAGGGTACAAAGAGGTGTGAAGCAGATGTTGTGTAGAAGAACTACAAAAGGATTAGCTCAGTAGAAGAAAACGAGCAGCGAGGAAGTCACAATCGAGTGCATTGCAAACAGGCCATATTGTTTGGTCAGGTGACCACTGTCTTTTTCTACATTGACTCGCTCCACTCCACCACGTTTATTCTTAACTTCGTCATCTTTCCTCTCAAGACAAGCAATGATCAAACACGAACCCCTTTACTACACCGATCACAGTTTAGAATCTACCCATTTCGGTTCCTTCTTGTTCGCAAACGCCTCCACGCCAATCCGATAGTTCTCGCCCTGCATGAGAGCTCTTCCATATTGCTTCGTCGTGCGGCGCGTGTGTCGTTCAATAGTATCCATCTCTAAGGCTTCGTTCAACCCATATTTCGATACAATAACTGAGTCCGGCGAGACGTTGACGATCTGCGTCGCCAGCTTGATCGCTTCATCCACCACCGTTTCTGGCGACTTGGCGATGATATTGACAAACCGCAGACTCTTTGCCTCGTGAGCTGAAACTCTTCTTCCTGTTAATGCTAGTTCACTCCCGATCTGCAGGCCGCACGCCCGAACGATATGCGCCAGCCCCCCGCCTGCCGCAAACGCCCCGATGTGCACTTCTGGTAGAGAAAATTCGGCCTCCGGGGAGGAGACGACGAGGTCGCTGGTAATCACAGTGGAAAATGATTAGCTGTGTTTATTACACTTCCGCTTTTCCGACTCGGATCGAGAAACGCATCTACGTACCAATTCAGACACGACTCAAACCCCCCGCCAAACGCGATTCCGTTCACCGCCGCGATCACCGGCTTCTTCCCGCGACGCAAACTGAGTCCCATGAACCCATCTTCGGGGACTGGGGCTGCAAAGTTGAAGTGACTGGGCGGGTCTCGTTGCTCAAGCAAATCAGCGCCCGCGCAAAATGCCTTGGTGCCCTTTCCTGTCACTATCCCCACGCGGAGTGACGGCTCGTCATCGAACCAGTGCCAGATCTGCAAGCCCTCCGGATGTCCTACGACGGGGACGGAGTTCCTTTGCTCCTCGCGATTGATGGTGACCAGCAAGATTCCGACTGCGGGGAAGCTGAAAAGGAAAATAGATGACTTAGGTGGTGGGATTCGGAAATTCGGTACGTTGTCCATGGTTATACTATGTTCGATTCGATGAAACGCGGAAGGCCACACTCACTGTAGGGCGAAGGACTACGCGTTAGACGACAGTCATTATATACTGTCTCCCACGCTAAGCTGGTTTCAGTGGCGTGCGGCCATCACCTTGACGAATCTTACCTTCGTATGATGCCTGTCGCTTGCAGTTCAATGATTTGTCCAGCAGATAAGGTTACCACGAAAGGTTAATTGTCATATCCAAGGAATTCAAGGCGAATACCGGATCCGACCCCACAAAATCTTGACACCATAATTTTCGGCGTTGGCTTCCGTCGTACACAGAAACCTGACTCGGTGGTCACGACGTACGCGTTGCAGGTTGTTTTGTCGAACTACACTCTCCACAGCACATGCATTTCTCTCGCGTTTCCGAAGCTGACAAGCGGTGAGCGGAAGTATATCGATGCTCATCTTATGCTCTTGTGTAATTCGGTAAGTAACCTGTTATGTAACTATGTAACATCCCGATACCGCATCTTAACAATCAGGTCTAGGTGGCCTGTCACAGAAGGGCTCACCAAACAGGAAGCTTAAACCCACCCGGAACCTGGTGCTGGAAGACACCCTCGGGATCCACTGCCCGGGAAACTCGCCACAACTGCTCCACACTGTCATCGCCATAGCTGGCGATCGGATCCTGCCATTGGGCTGCATAGTTAAGATACTTAAAGGGATAGTAGGCCTTCTGCTCGTGGGCGTCATCTTCGATGGCTTCCAAGAGGGCACGGGCTGCCTTCTCCACTTGCGCATCATCCGCTTCGTCAACCCAGCTAGCGCTCAGCAGCACGATCATCAGTGAGCCGGTTGCCTCTGATAGCCCCAATGAATTGGTGTTGCTGCCTCTGGCATAGATGGCGGGCGGCAATGGCTCCAGCGATAACGACCACGTCACATTGGTCACATCCTGAACAGCGGCCAGGCTTTCGTTCCAGTGACGGTACGTCGCGTTGAGCATGGGAACGCTGGTGCAGAAGGTTGTGACCAGCCATAACTGACTGTTGAAAAAACACAATCCAATTAGTCCTGACTCCAGGAAATGGCAAAGAGAACCTACCGTTCGCCATTCGGCTGGAATGAGCCCTGCTCCGTTGAGATATCGGACATATTGGTCAGGCGCAACGTGCTGATCGCCGAAGGTATGGCAGTGAAAGGCTGGAACGCCGGTGGATTCGCCTCCGGCTTGGTATATACCAAACTGTTCACAAGCGCAGCGCCTTGTGTGCTTGAAAACCCAAAGCTGACGATCAACGACGCAAACTCGTCATAGGTGTCAGCGTCGCTGAAATCAGCCGTCGCCTGCAGCTGCTCGTCGACCGTGTCGAAGGAGTAGTAAGCCAACCCGGCCCATATCTGGCCCTGCTCGATGGCCGTCAGCTGAATGTGCGTGACAACTCCGAAGTTGTTCGATCCTCCGCACAGGGCAACCCGAAGCTCGGGGTTCTCCTGTTTGTTGGCATGAACGACGGATCCATTAGCCAGCACGACTTCAAAGTCGACGACCGTGTCGCAGGTCCAGCCGTAGCGGGGCGAGAAGTAGGAGATGCCGCCCCCGGTGGTCAGCCCGCCCACGCCCACTTGCCCGACGCGACCGCCGGCTACCGTGAGGTTGAGCGGGTCGAGGGCTTTGTAGACATCACCCCAGGTGGCGCCGACGCCGACGGTCACGGTGGATCGGTCATCACTGACTTCAATGAAGTCGAAACCGCGCAGGTCGATGGTCACGCCGTCGGCAATGTTGGCTGCCCCTTCGACCACGATGTG